GCTGCCTACTTTACAGCAATAGATCCATTTTAGAGCTTCAAGAGAGGACCCCAATAGGTTAGAAAATCATCAACGTGAGCCTGGCACTGCTCCCTTGCCAGCCAATGGTGGGTCAAAGTGCTGATGCACGTTCATTCCAAGCCATGCATGCTACATTCCCAATAGTAAGGTGCTCTACAAGTCCTATCAGAGCTAGTGAGCAGAGAGCCAACAGCCAGAAAATCACTATTCCCCCAACCCAGTGACAAGACGGTCGAGGCTGCTCATCTGCTGATCCTTTGGTGAGCAGCTCAAAAGCCTTTTAGAAGCCTGGAGTCATAAGCCCTACCAATGCCTAGTACAACGTGGTGTTTGTTTAATGAAAGCGCATCAGCTCCTTTTAAAGCATTTTTACCTGGTGCTAAGCAGCTCCTTGCAGTGCTGCTTTTGTAATCAGCTGCTACCAAACACGTCCATGTGAGCCGGGTTTTAAACAAGGTTTTCTCCATCCACTTCTTTCCAGGCAATAAACCCTCAATCCTCTTATTATGCCTTGCAAGCAGAGTCCTTTCATTGTTATCTACAGTACACGTTATCATAGGGTACGCTGCAGAGCTGAGCCGAGAGAACATATCCCTGGTGTTTCTAGTAAACCAGCTACATATCAGTTTGACGCAGGCCCTACGAGCCAAACATGGATTTCTAAAGGAAGAAAATAATGAATATATAATAGTAAACGCAGGACACCATGTTGGTGCAATGTTGTCCGTAGAGAGAAAATAAGGGAATACAAAAGTTCACATTTCTACCCCAATATTATTTCAGGCATCGGGCACTTTGGTGGTATTGTCTCCTAAGATTTTAATGTTGATGTCCCAAAACATACAGTACCTGAAACGGGGCTGAGTTGAGACTTTTAATCTTGTATTTCCTTTTTATGCAACTGCTCAACCTCAGGGCCAAATTCTGTCCTTGGTTTCACCAATGTAAATCAGAAGTAACCGAGTGCCTAGTTAAAGCAGGATTTATGTAGTGGGAACATAGCAATTCATTTTAACTCTGGGTAAGTTAGCAGAAAACATGGCTGGACTTTTAAATTGCTGTTTTCTTTTTAAAGAAAAAGAAGGAAAGCAAAATAAACAAAAAAAGTCCAGGATGTTAGCCACACTAAATGATATAACAGTTAGGTTTCAAGTTCACCCATCTCCAAAAGGTGTCCATAGATCTAGATAATTATGAAAATGTCCTTGTAATCATGGAATTTTGAGCAAATATATAAATTAATGTGATCAGCTAAATGTAAACATACAACTAGTACAACCAGCCAGAAGTCTAAAGGGACTATAGAGTCAATGACAATGTCCTGAAATTGCACTGAAATTACAACAGTGTCGCCAATGTACAGCATTTTGTGCCAAGGGAGTGAAACGAAAAGATTAAACTCCGTTTGCTCAGTCTAACCATCTGTAAAATGGATCTAGTTATATTCAGCTACATAACAGGAGTATTATGAGGTCTAATTCATGTTAAACAGAACATTTGGAGGTCCTAAGCCACCTGGTCCCCAATACATTGTCTTTATTACGTAGTACAGGTTCAACCTCCCTGGTCCAGCACCCTCGGGACCTGTGCAGTCCTGGACTAAAGAGTTTGTCGGATCAGGGAAGTTTAGGCTCCACTCTGGGCTGTGGGGGTCCCCGGAACCTGGGCTCCCTGCCCTTCTGCTGGCCCAATGCCGAGGTTCAGCCTCCTCAGACTGGGACTCTCCAGCTGCTGCCTGCCCCACTGCTGCCTGTATTCCTGGCCAGGGCTTGGGCTCCCTTGGGTAGGGCTGGACTCCCCACTCACCTGAGGACCAGCCCCTGCTGGCCCAACCAAAGGTTCCCAGCACCCGTGGGATTCCCAGCTGGCTTGTGCCCCTCGCTTCCAGGGCTCTCTGATCCAGTAGCATCCATGATCCAGACTAGAGAGTCCCAGATTTGGGAGGTTCAAGCGGTATTATAATTTTTATTATTCATAATAAGACTCACAGGAAAAATATCCCCAAGCTTATGTAGAGTCAAGTAGGCACACTGAAACCGGGGCCAGCCCCTTGCCGTCTCTACCCATCGCTACAGTGTATGATGGATCATAGGTACAGCCTCTGCCAAGTATCTGTCAAGCTAAAATTGGAAGCTTTGCAGAATTCTAGTTACAACATATTGCTGCCCGCGAAGGCCCTCATCCTACCTCCAGTCAGTAAAAAACACGCCAGTGACTCAGCGAGGGCTGGATCAGGCCCCAAGAGACAAATCTTTAAAGTCAGTTACTGTATCACAGACTGTTCATTTCAGATCCGCTGATCACTTGAGCTCACCTGAAAGCGGTTGGACTTGTTCTATTTTCCTGGCCTGTTTGCTTGACATTCTCCTTGGATACCAAGAGAGAGCAAAAGCACTCCTCTCCTTGGAGGGGAAGCAACTGACTGTGCCTTTGGGTCAGAGCCATTTCAACCCCCTACATGTCTTTCACTAATACAGGCTTGGGGAACCTAAGGGCCAGGGACTGGATCCAGCCCCCCAGCTTGCTTGTACTTAGCCCCTGATGCTCAGGGCTCCACCTCCAGCATTGGCACTCCAGCTTATCTCAGAGAGGTGGAAAGGACTCGACAGATCATCAAGTCCAGTCCCCTGCCTTTAATGCAGGACCAAGTATCATCCCTAACAGATTTACTTCAAACAGCCCCCTCAAGGATTGAACTCACAACTCTGTGTTTAACAGGCTAGTGCTCAAACCACCAAGCTATGCCTCCAAGCCCCCTGTGCCATGTCTGGAGCACACAAAGTCTACTAGCCTGGCCCACCCTAGGCTCCGGTGTGCAAAGGGAAGGTGGGGAGTGTCTTTCTCCTTCTGAGGCAAGGGCACCTCAGTGACGCTTTGTTTGTGTTTTTGCTTCTTGTTTGTGTGGGGCCCCTGACTGATTTTTCTGTGGGTCAGCGGTCCCGGACCCAAAAAAGGTTCCCCGCCCCTGCACTGATTCCTGATTTGCAAGCAACTTGCACGTGAAGTTTTGGTCTAATCCGGAGGGCCCACTAGATGCATTTTCCCAGGGACAAGGAGAAACCCTCTCTCACGGAGAGGGCCTGCGTGTTGACAAGCAGAGGAGCTCAGGCAGGTGAGAGCAGAGCCTCATCCATTAGCCGCCATCGCTCCACAGATTCCCTTCAATAGCCCCATCTCCCCCTCTCATCGGGGTATGGAGCTGAGGAGGGAGAACAGGCAGCCTGTAAGCGTCCCTCAGGTGGAAAAGAAATATCATACCCATTGGGTGGAGCCTGAAGCGGCCCTCTGCCCTGCCCCATCCAATTGTTTTCTAGCTTATGCTGTAGCGGCTAGTGAGTCAAACCGAGTCTGTGCTGCGCTTAGGGGTCAGCCCAGGTTTACGAAAATCAAGCTGCCGCCTAAGCTTTCCATACATCATCACCACAGATAATCAGTGTGATCAGAAACTTGTTTTCTGCTCGCCGGTTGTTGCTGACGGCAATGATGTATGAAGCCAGAGCAATACAGCTCCATCGGCACACGACAAGTTGATGCCGCACAGATAAAAAGAGCCCAAATACCTGGAATAAAATAAAAGGCTGCTTTGAATAGCAAGCTGAGCGAGCGTGACATGTAAATCACCCAGGGAATGCATATTCAAGAGAAGCAGGATCTCATTTGTACAGGGGACTGCCTGCCTCTCTCTCTCTCTCCGCTAAGATTGTTCTTGATAAATAGGACTTTTAAAGGGAGAGTAAATAAGCAGTTGTCAACACACTGAGTGCCGAGTGAGGAGGGAAATTAAAGGTGAAGCTAACACACATGTTTCTAAAAGGCCAGAGAGCTGAGATAATAAGACAAGTTATTAAAACAGGATCTAGCGGTGTGACAATTCCACTCTTCAGCGCCAAAGAGCTGCATTTCTTAAGTGGTATGTGAGGCTCTGTAGCTGGGTTTGGGGAATAGGGAACTATTTCTTGGAAGCGGCTTACCTTCATGGGCAAAGGAAGGGCTGAAGGGCAAAGATAAAATCAAACTGCTACAGCACCTGGCAGGTCCAAACCTTCCTGACCAGCCACTTTTAGCTCTCACCAGTGAAAATGATTTTTTTTTCTTCCCTAAAACTTGCAAAACGACAGAGGGCAAGACACGTTTTTTGCCCAGATGATGAAAGAAGAGGGAATGCAGGGAAGTGAAAATGGAAAATTTCAAACACTGATTTCCCCCTCTCCCCCATAAATGTACATTTCAAACAATTTTGTGAGAATAAAAAATGGTCCCATTCCAAACCCCACAAAAGAGAAACAACTTCAGAGATTATTTTAATGGATTCCCCTCCTCCCTATTTTTGAGCACTGGGACCCAATGGATCTTTTAAAGGAACACCAAAGAATATATATATATTTTTAATGAGGAACACACAAAAAAGCACACACACACACAAAAAAGGTTGGGGGAAAGTTATTGAGAAAAAAAAGGGGCAGAGGAAAGTTATTGGGCAAAAAAAAAAAGTTGCCTGTCTCTTTAAAGGAGGCCATTTTGAATTCTGTTGTTCTCCATGGCACACCGGTGTGCCACGGAACACAGTTTAAGAAACACTGTATTACAGTCTTTTTTCCCCCCTTTTTTCATCTCCATCGGGCATGGAAGAAGCTATGACTCACTGCTAAAGGCACCTATTGACAATCATACAAGTAAAGGGATAACAGCAAAAGGAGAAGACAGAAACAAAAAAAATGGAAGATACATAGTGTGGGAAGCAATCTTTTTTATGGGCAGTGGAAAGGACTATTAGAGCAAATAGGTTATTCTCTTCTTGTATATATATATAGTGTGGAGCATCAATACTAACAAGATTAAAGCATCAGGAAGAAACACATATTTCCAGTTATGTATTCACAACTCAGCAAACTCGTATCTTTAGAGCGGATCTTACCCGAGGTGTCCAGTTCAGGTGCCCTCAAAGCATTCAGAAGGAAGGGTGGATTTGTAAAGGATACAGGCTTCTTCTGTATAGGGGACAGTAGATGTACTTCCTCCAAGGACGTAGCTGTAGAATGAGACTTCCAGTGTATAGCAATAGGAAGTATGGTCCAATAAGCCGCCGAGGAAGCGTCGTCCTGTCCCTGCCTTCACAGCGTCGCGGTTGAAGGACGTGCTAGACTGCATGGGAGAAAGACAAAAGAACTAATCAGGAGAGACCATGGGTGTAAATGTGTATGGCTTGGGAAAGAGAGTGTATAGAAAGGTGTATAATGTGTCTACAGTTAAACAGCTCAATAGGTAGCAAACAAACAAAAAACAAAACATTTTTTTAGAGATGTGATTTTATAATCTTCAGCAACACAGAAATGAAATATTTTTAAAGGGTCTGTCTACACTAGCCCCTTAGTTTGAACTAGGGAGGCTAATGTAGGCATTTGAAGTTGCAAATCAAGCCCGGGATTTAAATATCCCGCGCTTGATTTGCATCTTTCTGGCTGGTCGCCATTTCTGAAATTTACGAGTCCGGACTAACTGCTCGCGTCTACACACGGCAGGGACCCGGTAGTGCGAAATAAAGCCCTAGTTCGAACTACCTGTTAAACCTCATTCCAGGAGGAATAACAGGTAGTTCGAACTAGGGCTTTTATTCAAACTACCGGGTCCCTGCCGTGTGTAGATGCGGGCAGTTAGTCCAGACTTGTACATTTCAAAAATGGCGACCGGCCGGGAAGATGCAAATCAAGCGCGGGATATTTAAAACCTGGGCTTGATTTGCAACTTCAAATGCCTACATTAGCCTCCCTAGTTCGAACTAGGGTGCTAGTGTAGACATACCCACAGCGAATTGTAAACTAAGGTCCTGTTGACTCCTGCAGTAAATTCAGATACTGACAGTCTAGACCTGGAATTTTCAAATGCCTGTTAAACGGCTTCATTAGCACTGGACTGGCTCTTTCACGGGTTCCATGTTCTGCTAATAGCTCTGGCCAGCTTTTTCATTTTTAAGTTACCTAGATCCTCTCCAGAAGAAGCAGAGCCACAGAACAGGGGTCGGAAGAGGCAGATGGGTGGACACTAAAACCCAGTGGTCCCCAAATTTTCAGGTGCCCTACACTGCTGTATATTCTGCGTATGGGGAAGGACAGCCCTGGAAGAAACTAGCCTGGGGAAATGAAAACTCCACAGAGCAGGCAGTTGGGGTGTTTGGCTACTCACGAATTCAATGGAGAGACTAAATGTATTTTTGATGGGGTGGGGTGAGATACTGGCTCAGGCAATGCAGGTATGCTAGTGAACTAGTCTCTTGTTTCCCTGGGAGACTCTATTACCCCGAAGCCCTTGCAAAGCAAAGTCATCATTAAGCAAATGCAGTGAGCGCACACAGCAGGAAAGTAGCTAAACAAATATTTATTTCGCCACGTCTGAACCACATAAAAGTGTCAGCAGCAACAAGAAAGGACAGAATCCGGAAAAGGCAAAACACAGGGGACTTTGAAGTTCTCAGAAAGGGGAGATTTGTACATAATCAACAGGAATTCATTATTAACACACATACAGACACTAAGGCTCACAGAGCGACTTAGCTGCCTGCCTTCCAAACGGTCCAGGGAATAGAACTTCTGGAGCAAAATCTCTTTCCAGAGGGCTGGGAGATGCCAAACAAGAAGCCAGGCTGCTAAATAGTGAAGCAGGCGGGAAGCCGGACCACAGCAAAACAGAATGGCAAGAGTCATGATTCTACCTCTTTGGAGTCTGCCAGTGCCAGACCTGGTGTGGCTCTGCTCTGTGGGGATTGCTACAGGAGGGAGACATCTGCACCTCTTGCATGACTCAGAGCTGTGCAGCAGGGATCTCTGCATCCTTGGGGGAGGGGGGGGTTGAGGCTGTGGCCGTCTCTGGCCAGGGACAGGCGTGGGGGTCAAGCTGCTAGGCTGTTACATCCATTTCTGCCCAGAGGGACAGGAAGTAGGTGAAACCTCTGGTCTGGTCCCCCAGTGGCTGTCCAAGACAGCAAAGAGAGTATGAAAGGGTATAGGAGCTCGACTAATAAAGGCCTAGCATAGTTCATTTCCGCCATGGACTAAGGGGGCAGCAGTGACCACACTGTGACTCTCTGAGCTCTGCGTCTGGGACAGTACAGCAATGCAATACTCCTCAGGCTGGACTACAAGCTGCCAGTCCAATGCAACACTGACTATGGACAGGACACAGGTGGAGGAAGAGGGAAACCATGTTGTCATCAACCAACTTGATATCTGGTTGTAGCTAGCACAGTCCTGAATGCCATGTGGATAGGGCCTGAAAGATCAACTTTTCATATACCGGAACTAGTCAAATATAATTCCCATTTTCTCCTGTAATTAGATTGATAGGTATGACGCAGAGGATGTCTGTAGTCTACGTCATACTGCATCACATTCTACAGGGTAGGTGCAGACGTGGCTAGAGGTAAAATGGATAGTAAACCTGCCACAAAAGTTCCTGTCAAATTAACCTGAAAGACCACATGTTGACCTTTGACCTAGCTTGCAATGTCTGCACCCAAATTCTGTGCATTATCACTTGTGCATGCAAAGCTCTTTTCCGTATAAAACATCCTTTTGAATACACGAATAGGTTAATGAGTATACATTCCGCCATTGCACATGTAGGTGAAGTTGTGCACTTACGACACACATATCACTAACTGCACACACACTCACACACAAATGGGTCTCATTTTGACCTGTTGTCCTGATAGGTTAGATGGAGACCCACAAAAACAGACGAATTCAGAGTTAAAAGACAAACTGCTGCCCTTAATGCTCTCTCTTGTGCTTTGCTTTGGCGCTACTCAGAACTACCAAAGATAGGTTATCCAATCCCATGTCTCTTCTGAAAAGAAAGTTATATTTTGCAATGTCTCCTGTAGAGTAACAATCTCTGTGTCGGCTGCTCATGCTTTGTTTAATGGCTAAGCAATAAACGCTTTACCTACTGGGATAAGCCAGGATTATGCATACAAATTGTCTCGTGTTCTTTATACATCATCGGCAGCAATAGACAAGTGCAATCTTTACTCAGAACATCTCTGAAGTGATCCATTAATGCTGTCCACAGATGAACTCTGTCAAAAGAACACTTAGATTTCTTAAACCAGGTTCGCTTCCTGAAACTGCCACACACAGCTCCGGAATATAGTCATGAGAGGCCAAAAAACCACCCCCAAAACACAAAAAAAATGACCGAGTTGTCACCAAGGAAGAAGAAAGCTGCTATTGGGAGATGGAATGAACCCTAAAGTGCATCAAATTCATTCAGTGAAAACGTTTACACTATCATCGAGATCTAGGTCTAGGCCTTTCACTAAAATCTGGGGAAGTTGGACAGGGTGCACAGAACCACACCAGCTTTGAAATCTTTGCCAAGGAAGACTGTAAGTAGGGGTATTACGAATGGTTACTCTTTTGCGATCATTCTAGCAGTGCATTCTGAGAGGGGTGCGGCTGGAAGCTCTCTTTCCCCTAACGTATTGAACTAATGACTTCCGTGGTGTGCACAGCAGCCTCTGCTCTGCCCATGCCAGTCTCGCATTCAGTAGCCCAACAAACAGCTATCTTACCAGTCAAAGTGTTATCTCCTTCTGTTTCCGAAAGCCTCGAGGAAGCTTCCTACTTCTAAGCCAGCTTAACTCTGTCCTCACACCAGTTTCATTAGCACCCTTAATAGTCTGGAAGTCATATGGGTTACTGTTTCCTGCAATAGCCTATCGATTGTGTGAAAAAAAGGGTCAAGAGATATGGAAACCATGAAATCAAGAGGTGGATCTTTTACTTTATTTCTTTCACAAAGAAATATAGCCAGCCTCTGAAACATAGATGGAATTGCTTAACATGAAGGGAGATCGCAGAAGTGGGTGGCTGATTTGAAAGAAGTGGCAAGCAGTGTTCCCTCTAAGTTGAGCTCTTGGACGGCAACCCAGAAGATTCAAATGCCTCCCAGGTAATCAGCAGAGCACCCACAGCTGTCAGCATATGTTTCTACTGGTGGTGTACATTCACACATTATTCAGTGCACATAACAAAATTTATTCTGCACACAGATGGAAAGAAAGTAGAGGGTACATTGGTGGCGAGTAAAAAGGAAGGATGTTGGAAATAGAGATGTGATAAACTAAAACCAGAACTCCAATTGCTCACAGACTCATGTGCAAATCTCTCCCTGCAGTCTCAGTACATTTCTGGTGCAGAAAGGGAGATGATTCAATTTCTTAGAATAACTAACTATTGCTGAAGTGTAGACGATTTGAAAGACCAGGTGCAATTTGAAAAAGCGTGTCATAATGTGGTGCTTTTCCAAACCCCTCGGGTCAGCAGAAGTAGGCTGGAACCCCCCACAAGACTCTTGTTCTTCCTGCCAATGCAGGGAAGATATGTGTCACAATATTTGGGGTCTTCTGTTCCCAGTTGGAAGCAGGAAGTGCTAAGATGGGCAGCAGCAACAAGATAATGAGGGAACATTATCTGCTCTATTTCCAGCCTGGCAGTTTGCAGGCTGAGAGAGGGAAGGTTCTGATATGATCCGATCCACTTTGCCTACCCCTAAGAATGAGATCGACAAAACCAAAGATCCTCACACTGTAATAAAGTATCAGCAATCCTGCATGGCAATATCACTGGGGCCAGCACACACACAACCCACGCTGGGCCACTCTCTCAGGATTTAGAGTGTGATTCTACTTGGAAAAAAGATGGTTAAAAAGCATTGTGTTAGAGCACACACGTATTTTATTCTCCCTAAGGGGGTCCAATATCCTCTTTACAAGCCAGCACAACTCCTATTAGCCTTAATGGGACATACACACATGCATCAAGGGGATACGGGAACCTTTCCCCTCCTAAGTGTCTTCTGAGTCATGCCTGCTTAAGTTTGCTGACAAAAACAGATTGTTTTGTCTGGTCAGCAGCCCCAGGCTGTGAAGGAGGGAGCTGTTGTGCGCTCCTGTCTCATGCATCATCAACAAACTGCCAAGTTAAGTTGGGACTCCAGGAAGTGTGTGGCTGAAGGAATTAATGTGGTCCTCCATGGAAGGGAACGCAACTGGAAGGTGAAATAAAGCACATTTGCAAATCTAGGGTGGATTCAGGGGCGGATATAGAGCAAGGTGAGTGGGGCGGCCGCACCAGGCCCCGCGCTTC